CATTGACACACCACGCAGTCTCCGGTCGGGTTTGCGTCCCAAATTTATAACTATTGAGAGCACTCGTGACTCGGGAGATATTGCGCTTCCCAACCTAATGGGCCTGAAGTCGTTGGTGGCCTCGTTCAACGCGCCAGCGGACCAGATAGGTGGCTCTTCATCACAGAGTGCTGTGAATCGCGCAGAAGACAGGCGACTTCGACTTGTTCGAGAGCTCCTTTCGTCGCCCGGCAAGCCGTCGAAGCCGGTGTTGCCAGCAGCGACTGAAGGAGAAGACTCTGCTGCGCACGAAGTGGCGGAAGGTCGCAGTCCCGCCGTGGAGCGAGATATCATCGTGCAAGTACAGGATTATGGGGACATCCAGACCACCCGCGAGGGCTCCAAGTTCATCACTCTGTTACAGAAGGCTATAGAGGAGAAGAGAAAGGCCGGTTCCCGAGTCCTCTTTATTGGTACATCGGCACAGGAAGCTGCACCTGATTCGGATGCGGCCAAGCTCATGCAAAACGCCTTTGACGATCAATTCTCCCAGATGCTGGTCATCACACCCGCCATGAAGTCTGAGGTGGCAGAGCGCGTATTCGCGGAAGACCGCAAGACGCGCACTCTCGATATCAACATTCGCCACGTCCAAGATCTGCTCCGAACGCGGCTCGCCGATAGCCCTTCGGCGCTCAAGGACGACATTTACCGTGATCGCGCCTGGCCTTTGGATGCGTCCCTTGTGAAGGAAAGTGGCCTCGATGAGCGGTACTGGCCGTACAGCCAGGTTCACTGGGCTACAACTCTGGCACTTGGTTCTCTAGGAGCAGATGAAGCTTTCGGTTATGATCACATTCGGCGGGGACTTGAGATGATGCAGAAGACTGAGCGTGTCAAAAACGACTGGCTGCACGAGAAAACGCCCAAACCGAAGGCTACCGAGACAGGAAACGACCGGGAGCGCTTGTTAGGCTCCTTGCGGAAAACGTGCAACTCACACGAGAAAAAACTATTGAACGGAGTCGTGGATGCCAAGAGCATTCGCACTACATTCTCTGATGTTCATGTGCCACCTGAAACCATCGATGCATTGAAGACTCTGACCTCTCTTTCTCTGATCCGACCCGAAGCGTTCACCTACGGTGTCCTGGCGACTGACAAGATCCCTGGTTTGTTGCTCTACGGGCCTCCAGGTACGGGTAAAACCCTCCTGGCGAAAGCCGTCGCTCGTGAAAGCGGTGCCACCGTCTTGGAAGTCAGTGGGTCTGAAGTCTACGATATGTACGTTGGCGAGGGCGAGAAGAACGTCAAGGCCATCTTCACGCTGGCTAAGAAGCTGAGCCCCTGCGTCGTGTTCATCGACGAGGCCGATGCCATCTTCTGTTCTCGCACTGGAGCCAGCAGCCGAACGTCACACCGGGAACTTATTAACCAATTTCTGCGGGAATGGGACGGGATGAACGACATGTCCGCCTTTATCATGGTTGCCACGAACCGACCATTTGATCTCGACGATGCGGTTCTCCGGCGTCTCCCCCGGCGACTATTGGTGGATCTTCCGATCGAACAGGATCGCCTGGCCATCTTGAAGATTCATCTGAAGGAGGAAACCCTGGACAGCTCGGTTGATTTGGCCGAGCTGGCTCGTCGCACGCCTCTTTATTCCGGATCCGACCTCAAGAACCTTTCCGTTGCGGCCGCTTTGGCTTGTGTCCGGGAAGAGAACGACCTGGCAGCGCAGCACCAAGGCGAAGAACCGTACCAGTATCCCGCGCGACGCACCTTGACCTGGAAGCACTTCGAGCGTGGTATGGAGGAGATTAGCGCATCGATCAGCGAGGACATGTCATCACTCTCTGCAATTCGCAAGTTCGACGAGCAGTACGGCGACCGCAAGGGCCGACGCAAGAAGGCGCCTGGTTGGGGCTTCATGCCGGCGGGCGTGGACGAGTCGGCAACTAGCGTGGATGCGGCGCGCGTCCGGACCTGAACTGGTTCAATTGTACAGCGTTAAGCAATTGGGGGTTCAATAGAAATGGATTGCTTGGATGTTTCTTATGTCACATAGATAAACTTGATATTCTTTCGCGTTTGTGTAGGTCTGTTTTGAATTTGGGCTGGGATTGGAATGGCACGCAAGGGCAGGAACTGGGCTTGTATACTACGAACTGATTAGCGACAACGAACCACAATGTATCAATACAATACCGCAGCAGGACACGATTCCAATTGATATTGTAACCGATAGATAATATTAACTCTCAATACAACAGGAGACGATCCATGAATTGGGATGATGGAATGAATGGATTAAATCGGTTGCGGTAGCAGTGTGAATTAATTCTGCGGGGAAGAAAGACTAAAAAATTCCAAAGAGGAAGATGCAACAGTAACTTGAATGACATCGACGAGGCGGCAGCTCTCCTTGGATCAGCCAACCTTCTTTCTTCTCTTCGTTCGCCAACTTCTCTTTCTCCTCTTATTCTCCACCCGCCACCATCGTTTCAGTTTCAGTCCCTCGCTTCTATTCTTCCTTCTTGGCGGCTAACTGCTATCCCATCCTGCAGAATCTCTGCAGGCCCTCTTTTCCTCCTCCGCACGCGACCAAAAAAATCCCCGCGCCTATCTTCTAACCTCTGGCTGCCCCTCTGGCAAATCCCCTCACGATGGCAACCGAGGCCCGCGATGCCGCCATCCGAGATGCGAAGCGCTATGTTCGCGAGATCGTCCGAAACGACTGGGTCTTTGAACTCTCCTCCGAGCCTGGCGTTCCTTCATTCTCATCTCCTCCCACCCCCAACCAAGATGTCCTACGTTGGCGTCAACGCGAATATGACAGCTCCGGCTCCGAGCTAGAACCTCAGCCTTCGCCCGCCATCAGCCCTGTTGGTGGTCACAATGCCTCTGAGCTCGCCAGCCCGCTCGGAACCCCGCTCAGTGACGACTCCGAGCGGAGGCGCAAACGGCGCCGCCAGATGGAGGAGGAAATGCAATGGAACCCAGGCCTCCGGACATGGGTAGAGCGCCGGGATGCGTGGTCTGGAGCTCTCTCAAGGGACGCGATTCGAGCAAGAGAAGCAAGGACCCAGCAGGCTGTTACACCTACGACATCATCCTCGGAACAACAGCCTCCACATAATGCGTCCGTGCCTGCTGCTACTACCGTGGCCACCCCTCCCCTCTCCGCTTCGTCGGCCAATTCCCAAAACGACCTCGCCCTGCGAACTGAAGCTTCTCTCAGCATCGCCGAAAATGACAGCGCGCTCCCACGGCCGCCATCTCGCGGCGAAGAACCCTCCACGGCAGCAGAACAACCACCCCCGCCTCCCCCCGCGGGGGAGGACGAGAATCAGGGTGGAGAGTCTTCTTCCTCCGCAGATACCGGGTTGAGTCAACCTGACTCCGCGCATCAGCAATCAACCAGCGAAGACCCTTTCATCCCTGTCGTCTCGTCCCTCATCTCCAATGACAACCCCATCCGCGCCTCCATCACCCCAGCGATGTACCCATCCATCTACTCCAAAGTCGTCATCCAGGGTCTTACTCCCACAGTGCCGATCAACCTCGCAGATGTTACCAAGGCCATGGTTCAAGGCTGGAAATCGGACGGTCAATGGCCCCCGAAACCCTCCTCGATCGTGCTCCAAGACACCGCGACGGTGCGGCCCAAACCCGAGGAACCTGCGGATAAGCCGCCCTCGTCACCCGAGTCCAAACGGCGCTCGGGTGTAGCCAGCGCCGTGCGCAAGGTCTTCCACTTCTCAGGCTTCCATCCGCATCATCCTTTCCACCGGAGAGGATCAAGCAGTCAGCAGAATGAAGGAAATGCTGAAGGAGGTGTGAACCAATAGTTGCTAGCCTACTTTACCTCACTTACTTTCTATTCTATATTCACCCTCGCCTCGCTATTATGACGATGACTTTGATGATTTTGTCTTGATTTGCTGTAAATAAGCTAAGCTGAGCTAAACCAGGCTATCATTGATAACTTTGGGTTCGGGTATTGGTTTGGGGGGGAACTTCTCATGACTTATCAAATGGACGCTCACATGCATGCATGCGTCCCACGCGCACCCACACACACATATGCACGGGCGTGCATAATTAATTTGTCATGCATATTGGCTGCTGGCACTGTTTGGACCTACTTAGTCTCTTCTCTACTGTTTCCTAACTAACTCTCTCCCTCAGCATTTATATTCTAACATATGCTTTTGCTTTTTCTTCTCGCTGCATCTTCGCCACTTGCTATGTCATCCCTATGGCTATGTTCTCCCTCTAAATGACTACTCCGAGATGCATAATTATATGCTATCCCAACTAACTAACTACCTGTTCGTTTGTCTGCTGGACCATACCAGCCACAAGGCAATTAGTTACATTTTGATGTCTACTTATAAATGTCATGAGTCGAACGAAGATGCAATGGAGTGTGTATGTTATTTTAGGCCTTGAGATTTGGGATATTTGATTTCGAGAAGAAATTGCATGCTGCAAACTTTGCTTGGCAGATTGCTTAATGGGTTCTGCTTGTTTGGTTTATGAATGAGTACAGCTGGTGGTAGTAAGTATGGATGGAATGAAATGGAATGGTGGTAATAATTGAATGGAAAAGTCTTTGGACTGGATCGGTTTAGTTTGCCTTTATCTTCTCTACTGTTTCATAACTCAAAATATCCATGTCTAGGACCATAGTTCAAACTATACAGATATCTTACTAGGATCATTGATCTGATTCTGTGCATCAAACAAGCGAACCTCGATCAGGTATATACGTGACACTCTACTCTTTCGAGGTAAATCTCCATTTAGTAATGTATTCCATTGCTTTGCTTGTTATTAATGAGTATGCAAGCTATATGTATCCCTATGGTAATGAACTGTCTATACTGGTCTATAGTATCAATTCATCATTCGATTATATAATTCATCATCTAGAGCAAGTGGAGTATCGTACAAGATCACTATCAATAATAATATCAATATCATGCCAGTAAGGTCATCATGTCCTTAACCATTCAGTATCCAATAACATCGACAAGGTCGAGAGTATATATCGTATTCGCATTCGCAGACTCAGACGGTTGATCTGGATGCTGAGCTGCAAACAGAGACTCCTCAGCGCGATCAACATCGTCGCCATCTAAACCAAGATCAAGTCCTCTCATCACATCCAGGAACTCTTGAACAACAGGGGCGAGGATCTTCTGCGAAGACTGTTCGAGTTCTGCAGCGACAGAAGGCTGAATGCTGATTTCCTGGGGCTGGTGCGCACCGCGTCTGGTAAAGTAGAATTTCTTTTGATGGCGGGACCAGCTCTCGTTGAGGTAGAGGTGCAGCTCTCGTGCTGCGGAACGCTGCAGATCAGGGAAGAAGGGCGGGTTCGTGACTATAGATGAGAGGGAGTCTCCTGCGCTGAAGGCTTCGGTGGACTGGGGTATATCGTATAGGTCTGTGGTTGAGAGGGGTTGGTTGAGATGGCTTGTGGCGAAGGTGACATAGTGTTGGAAGGCGTGTATCTGAGCGAGGATTCTTTGATCCATGTCGGTTGCTCGGTCTATATAGTCGATGATTGGCAAGGCGGCTGTGATCATCTTAATGAAGGCAGCGGCGCTGATTGCTACGGCAGGGTCGTTCAGCATGGTGGCATTGCTCGTTATGGACAGGAGGGCGGTGTGTGATGCTTGGAAGACGGAGTGGATGATGTTCACGAGGGATGCCACGCAGGCGGAGTCTGTGGTATCCATGTTGAACAAGAGATCCTGAAAGACGAGCGTGATGGTCTGGATGATGGGCCGGCTTAGAATCCAGCATGCTGGGTTGCTGAAGGACGCCTCGAGATAGGCTGGGAACACTGCCTGCAACAAGGTCGCCCTCAGAGTTGGCTTGTCGGGAAGACCACCCTCATAGGTGTCTGCCATGGATGCGTGTAGCTGGTTGACGAGGTAATCCTGCTGCCCATCGATCGCCGCTCGCTCAGAAACACTCTGAATGAACATGATGAGCGTCTTTGCTACTTTCTCCGAGGCAAGTTTCGGCTCGTAGCTCTTTAACCGGGCCACGATATACGTCGGGTCGCCAGAAGGTAGAGGGAACGACGCGGGATCTGTGAAGAATGGGTCGATGGGGCAGATGTCTCGACTGTGCTGCTGCAGGAAGGCGACGATGCGATGGACAAAATCCACGTAAGCGCCCTGGACGCTGGCTGCACCGTTGCCCAGTTCCAGATAGTTTGCCTTCATAGCGGACATCATGTTTTGAATGATCTCCCGGTACTCTTGCTTAGTAGTGGAGAGCTCCCGGGCTTCCACATCCTCCAGTAATTGCAAATGCGCTCGCATGTTGGAGAGGACACTGGATATCAGAGAAACGCGGCGGTGGCTTAGATCCTCTAGAGTGATCAGATATCTTCCTTCTTTCCGGTCCTTGGCAAAGGGCAGATTCTGCAATATCGGATCTGTCACCACTTGGTTCAGCAAAGCTTCTGTTAGGCGATGTTGGTATTTCAGCATCGAAACTCGCTCTACCAAACTTGACACCCACATCCCGATCACTTGGACTTTGCAATCTACTGCAAACCGTGAGTCTCTCTCAATGCTGCTTGCCAAGAAGAGAGGCGTGAACTTTCTCGTCTGCATCGTTAATCGGAGTGATGTCCAGGAGTCGCCGTTGTAGGGGCTAAGGTAGCTGTCCCAGTGTCGTAATCCATGTTTGACCAGAGTCTGCGCGATAGACGTCCAACACTCCACAACATTAAGCAGGATTGCATCTTCAGGACAGTAGTCCTCTCCAAAGCAGTTCGATATAAGCCGGAACACGGCGGGATGAAGGACAGTTCCCACAATTTCGATTTCTGGACTTATCACTGGAGACTCATCATATGCAGCCGCAATGTCCGCCCAGTCCCCATACTCTTGGCTGTCTTCATCAACTGCCACAGGGGCACTTGCTTTTTCAGCTGCCGGAGGATCACATTTCTGAACGTAAGTGACAATCACTTGGAGCGTCTCAGAGACAGTGGTATTGACACGAGCAATCCGGGCGTTGAAGAGACCAAGGAGTGCTTTAATAGGCGCTCCCAAGATAAGCTTATGGGCGTGCTGCAGTGTTGGTGCTGAGCGGATGGCAGTATTCAGGCCGCTGAGCGCGGTCTTCAGCAAGGACTCGATCTGCCGTTGGTTCTGTGCAATCGTTCTCTCAACTAACTGATCGGAGAATCTGCTGCCCGCAGTGTTCTGTGATTCAACCTCGTGGCGCGCAAGCGCATGCTGCTTCAACAGTTCGGAAACAAAATAACTGTGCCAGTCAGAAAAAGGTTCAAGACCAGTAACAGCTTCATCTGTCGAGAGTTTGAAGCGGACTAGCCTAGCCCAGGAGCGAATACTGATGTTGCATGTCTCACGATGGGAGCTGGCTGGGTGAACAAGGTCTCTGATTGTCTGAAGGCGAGGCCGGCACCCGTCAGGAACAGCGTAATACAATGTACACAGGAGATCATGGTGGTTCCTCAATGCATCCAGGTCCTCCTGACGTATTGGCTTCTCTTTGGGATAAACGCGGCCATGATTTGGAAGCAGGCGCCATGCAAAGTTGCGAACTTTCTTTTGGTCATAGATCCTAGCCAGGTAGCGCAGGCCACTCGCAATGATCTTCAGCAGAACGTGAAAACACGGGTCGTCTGGCTGCACTTCTAAGGAAGGTCTCTGGTCGAGTTCGTCGAGAAAAGCAGGGGACCTGTAACCCTCCTCATGCTTCAGGTTATACAGGGTATTCTTCGCGAAGAAATCGTAGAGAGTGTCAAGTATTGGCTTGCAGTCTCTCCAGCCCCAGCCATTAATGAGGTAGAAGCATCTGTGGAACAAAGTTCTACAGTACTTGTAGTATGAGATTGGCTGTGTTATGGACGTAGCATCGTAGCGATCAAGTACTGGACGGAGCAGTGTCTTGATAATGGCCCAGTTCCCATGGGCCTCCCAAAAGCGCGACCCTATCCGAGCAATGCCAGAAGCATCGAGCTCATCCAAAGGCAAGGTGGTGAACACACAGTGCCACACCCGCTCTAGCCGGCTGATATCTGTTAGGTTCACCAAGTCATTATCTTGACTCGAGTAGGCTTTCGTCAGAAGCTCCTCAAAACATCCTTTTAGTCTATCTGTACCGCGAAGGATGTGTCGGACAATAACATAGGCTTCGGCAACAAGATGGTCGCTCTGAATTCCTGCGTCACGCTTTTCAGGAGACTCGATGTTTGCTAACAGTTTGCGGATACTGCTCTGTCCCAATGGGGCTGTGACAAGTGTGATAGTTTGTTGGGCAGCCCGCGTCAACGCGTTCAACGCCTCCTGGGTAAGCGCATCATCAACAAGATCATGCCCGGAAATCTGAAGAATTTGGTACGTAAATACAGAATTGTACGAGCATATCGTTGCCAAGTACCCTATCTCGCGCTCAGATTTTGGGACCAGAGTTGTCAGAGTATCATTGAGCTTGCAGACAAGGCTCAGAGCCCGTCTCACGAATCCTATCCTGTCGATGGGGTCGATGAAGGAGAGCGTGTCCGTGACATACTTGACCAAGTACTTGTATAGGCTACAATAACCCTTCTCAGCATTCTCCGGCCCTTCAGTCAGCCCGGCGTCGCTCTTCTCAATCAGTTCAATCATGCTGTCCAAGACCAAACCTATTTCCGAAGACACCGCGTCATTCCAAGAACCCCAACGATAGGTTCTATCCCCAGTCTTAAACGAGAGGAAACCAGCATCTTTGTCAAGATCTCGCTTAAGAAACTCAAGCGAGTGCGCAAACTTCCCACTTCCGAGGAAAGTGGTTTGGTGGAAGAATGTGCCAGTAGACAAGGGAAATATGCTGAAGGCCACGCTATATGAAGGCTTGAACCCATGAAGCGCATCGGATGAGCTATCTATAGGCAAGTCCCCACTCTGTAGGAAAGGTTCTGGATCCGTTGACTCCAGAATCAAATGTTGTTGATATTGGTTGTCATTGACTGCCAGCCGCTTCGGCGGCCGCTTCTTCAATTGGCGCTGAGCTTGTGGACGCGCCCCTGGCGGTCGGGCGTCCGGTTTATTCGTAGGCTGACTCGTACCAGTAGTCTGGGCGCCAGCAGTAGCAGGAGATGAGCTGCGGCTTGAGATGAAGCGATCTAAGACCAAATTACTCTGGCGTGCTTTAGGTAGGCCTTTATGCCGATAGTTCCGATTGATCAAGGAAAGAGACCTCTGAAACGACAACGGTGATGCAGGCTTGCCACGAGGGTTTGCTACCTCAAGCATTGCTGGCCGCGGGTCTTGCCTTGTCAACGAAGTAATGGCCAGATTTCTTCGAACAATCCATTTGTTAGACCGTTGCTCTGGTTGCATCAGCCTGCTAGGGTTAACAGCTGTCTTAGCTACTTGACCAGGAACGCGACGTTCAGTATTAGTGGCGTGCTCATCGGCTGTACTGTCCGCTCTGGATGGGGGAGCTGACGAAGAATCCATCCTACGGCTCTCACTCGCTCCTTCGGTAGCTCTTCCCTGAGACCTGGCTGGCCGGTTCGAAGAAAGAACAGCCAGCGGTTGCCGTCCGGCTACCTTGGTCTTGGGCCGAGACGGAGGCAATTTCTTTTGTCGAAGCCGTCCTTCTTGCCAATCGTGCAACGACTTGTTGGCGTCCTCCGTATCCACACGCGAACTGAAGTTGAAAACTTTCCGTGTGGGACTTCGTCTCCCTTTGTCCTGACGAGAGCGTGCTTCTCTTGCGGCGATCCTAAGAAAGAGCGGTTGCTCACCACGGGACCTAGAGGCAACATCTGGTGCGTCAAGAATACCAATTCTAGGCATGCTGGGCGTAGATCTCTTCTGCTTTCTAGACCCATAAGCAGGGTCTGTAAGCCTTGTCTGTCTCTTCATCCGAGGGCGTTTAGGCGCATGAGCAGAGCGTATGCTATTACCCTGCGACGTAGGTCGTTTCTTTCCTGGCTGCCGGGTCTTGGTCGAGGCGGCACGAGGTGCAGGTGGGAGCATGTAATCAATCCGATTGTCTTCCGGGATGTCCTCCCCGAATTCATTATCATCGAATGGCTCAAGTCCAAGGTTAGCTAGTAGTTGCCGCGAATTGGCCGTGTCGTCCCCGTCTTTAGCTTCATCCTCATCGCCAGAATCCGGATCAGCAAGCTGTCTCAGCGAGGAAAGCTTTGTGTCCGAGCCTGGTGCTATTGTCGTACTGTTACTTTTGGTTATTTTACGTGCAACGCCCTTTGCATTTTCCGTTCTGAAATGCATCCTTTCGCGCTGTCGCTGCGTAGCACTTAAGCGTCCTTCTTGTTGTTTCTGGTCTAATCTCAGCCACGACGCCGGTAAGACCCCTTTAATTCGACGCTGATACAGTCTGACATCAAAGTCCTCGTTCTCGCTCTCAACCGCGCTTGCATCCTCGGCTTCAGAGTTTGACTGCGTAGGATTCGCTTCCAGATGAGCTTCAACAGGGTCGCCATCCTCTTCGCCTCCAGACCAGTCCATCCCATTGTCCTCTTGAGCCGTATCTCCATGTCCTGATTTTGTGTTGGTAGTCACCGATGGTGGTGTATAGCCACGAGGGAACCGAAAAACGTTGGAAGGTGCTGTAGCGGGCGAAGAAGTAGCATTCTCCTCCGAACGGGGTGGGCTTGGGACACCGAAGATCGAAGCATTATTTTGACGCACGGGAGATGAATTCACGATTACTACACTTGGCTGTTGCAGATTTCGCGTGTGAGATCGGTGCTCGTGATGAGGCCTGGACAATTTGCGCCTTTTCGGTTGCCGGTCTAGCACCCCAGCTGGAGAGTGGCCCAATTGTGGAGAACCATGTTGTAGCGCAGGTTCCGGGGAGTTTCTAGACAACCTTTTTTCTGCAGGACGAGTCTCTATTGGTGATGAGGGTTGAAACTCAAACTCTGCTCCAAAGCTATCAGACATGGGCTCGGCGGTGTCAACGTATTCCTTGCCTTGGCTCTCATCGCCTGTAGGCTGAGCCAATCCCGGCTGAGCCACCCGTACAGGCTTGACGCCTCGTGCGCGCATCATGGTCCGATACTTGGCGTCCTCCAACATGTAAGGATGCAATTGAATGGCTTTGCGTTCTCGTAATGATCTTCGCGCCGGCGGTGACATTTCCCGCAGTATTTCCTCTGGGAGATCGAGTGGAGGCAGCAAATCCTCGGGGAAGTTGTTCGTTGGTCGCTCCGGTTGTTCTGGTTGCTCCTGGCCGCCTTGGTCATCCTCGTCAAATTGAATTGAGTCCAATGACGATAGGGGGGATGAAGGAGTCGACAAGTCATTGTTCTCCTGATCTTGCCGCGGTTGGCTGTCGAGCTTATTCTTTGAGTAGACATGAAGCGGTCTCCTTGACGGTCGGTAGTCGAATTGCAATTCGTCTTCTGAACTTGGGAAATCCCAGATACTATCGTGCTCCTTGGCTCGTGGGGTAGGCGGTGCGCAACCATTAGTTGCGTTTGAGGGTTGCGCAGGGAGCTGAAAGTCGTCTTTTTCCTTTGCACGGGGGGTCTCCTCATCCTCAGCGACTCCAGGCAACAGTTCCTCATCAGCTGTTGTCGGTCTGGCATTAGCTTTTTCTGGAGAGTTCGTAGGCAGGCGAAAGTCGTCAATCTTCTTCTCGGCACGAGGAGTTTCCTCGTCTTTAGAGAGTCCATGCAACGATTCCTCGGATTTGTCGTCCTCTTCGACAGACTTTGACCGATTGCTGGGTGTTTCTAGAGATTGTGTAGGCCTGTGAGAATCATCAATAGTCTCCTCAGCACGAGGTATCTCCTTGTGCTCGGAAATCGCAGACAATTCTTCCACGGCTTTGTTACTCCCATCATGCTGATCTGTTGGCCCGGAGGCACTATTTAGATTCTTTGAAAGAGTCACAGGACGGCCATATTCGACATTGCTGTCCTGAGGGGCATTTGCCTGCACCTCAGGTTGAGCTTCATCCTTTCGATCCAGGGCAGTAGTACCCTCCACAACTACTGCAACTGCAGAACCGATATCCGCGACTGAATCTTCGACAGCATGATTCAAGTCTCCTGTCTCCTGGCTGTCGAGTCCGTCCTCCGAGTCCGAGTCCGGTACGAACCCTCGCGCCCGCCATGATTCCATTTGTATCCTAGGCGCGGATGGCCCATCTCCCTAGATATTCATCACCTCGTAACGGCGGCAGGGCCCGAAATACTGCGCACGATAATCTATGGGAACGGAGGCGAACGAAAAATTGCACAAGAATCTGACCAGTCAGTCGGGGGTCGTGCCAGGGATCCAGATCCACCGGGGTTAGTAGTGAAAGTCGAGCGGGTTAATTGACGCAGTTGGTTGCTGGTCGATGCGACGCGTCGAAAATGTGGGGAGGACGCGATGGGGCTTAAACGGCGGATGGGCTGGCGCAAATTTGGCGATTGCCCGGCGGGCGGTCCGGCCGGAGCTTGGCCCGGCGAGCTCTTTCAATCGACGCTACGGCATCCATTGCTAGCTCAATCTCCCGCATTAAAACTTCCCCAGCAGCCACTGGATAGTCTGCATCATGAGTCGCAATTGGATTCCGGCCCTTATGGCCATTGGCATGGGTGTCTGGACTGGTAAGTATTGGGAATTTCCACACTCGCTCATTCATATGAGCATGTGATTGCCATCAGCTTGCTAATTGTTACGTTTTCCGGGTCTGCAGGATACTATACCTTCCAGCCTGCGTTGCGAGAATTGCAGTCGGAGAAGACGGGTCCTCAGTAAGGCCCACCTACCAAGTCATCTCTTTTGCATGCCGTTCCCTGCTGACTGGAATGCTTCACCGATAGGACTCCGCCGGCGCAAGACCAAAAGATCGCTCCCACTCCCACTCCCAGTTCAGACAAGGATTCGAACAAGCCGGTGACCCAACCCAGCGAAGCGAAGACCCCCGAGGCTCAAAAAAGCTAGTTTACAACTGAATAAGTCGCTTGAAATGCATACACTGAGACGCCGCTGGTCGGTGATATATAGCCAGAATAATGACCGCATTGATCCTTTTGCGAGTTCATGACTGTATGGAATAGAAGATAAAGTCATGAATGGAGCCTGCACTGACTTCTCAGTAAGTGTTAGCAATGACTGGGACATTTTGTCTTGCGTAGGCTACCAAAAACATGGACTGCAGTGGGATCAAGAACGCAGGCAGATTATGTGCAGCTCAAGTATAGTACGAGCTTCCACCATTGTCCATGTGACTTAAAGCTCTCGGTCATCTATAGCCAATATCTGAAATAGCCATTTGAAGATAAAATAACGTCCAGTATCTCTACGCAAAAACCCAGAATATCAAATTGAACACAGTTATTTAAATGATCCACTCTGTAAATGTACATCCTTGACCTAAGTATTATAGAAGCCTATACCCTCCCTAGAAACCTATTTCAAACGCCCAGCTCCAGATGCGCCCATCTTCCCATGCCTGTTACACCTCTTGCACGAGCTTGCCCGAGCCATTGCCACCAAATACACGTCCTGCAGGTATATCGAGCCATTCCTCCGGCACGCCTACTCGACTGCCTTCGCGGCCACTTACCCACCTCACCATTGTCGGATCGGGTTTCTCGGGTTCCGCGACCTCCTGGTCCGCAGAAGCTGCTTCGGCTGTCTCTGCAGCTGGAATACGTCCTCGGCGCTTGGGTGCCTGCTTCCGTAGAAGCCTGTTGATGGTATCCATCTGTGATTCTCATATCAGCATCGACTTGGAGTACAGAAACTCCCACCCCGCTGCACTTTGCGGAACCCTAGATGGTACGTACCTTCTCCTCCTCATTCCGCTTCTCGCTGAGGTTCTTTCTACGACGAGCCATTTCGGCACGACGCATGGCGCGCTCCTCAGCCGTCAGGTGCTTCTTCACCTGGGGTTCTGCTCTCAGTCAGACTCACGATGCTTCCAATGATCATGCGGGACGTAAAAGACTCACCCATGGGAAGTTGCAGGAAGTCGTTACCCAGATTACCCCTTTGCCGTTTGGTCATCTTGCTCAGGTCGGCGGTCGGGGTATCGTCATCGCTGTCCAGATCGTCCTCTTCTTCCTCCTCTTCCCCTTCTAGATCCTCGGCACCACCATTGGCCATCATACTTTCGTCCTGGTCGTCTGGCTCGCCTTCAGCGTCTGACTCCAGTTCCGAAAGCTCCTCATCGTCGTCGTCCTCGTCGTCATCGTCCAGCTCCATCTCTTTAGCCTCTACACTTTTGACGGCCTTCCCGCTCGGCGCTGCTGCTGCTGCTTTCGCCTGCCGTTTGGACACTGGCGGCTGGGGCGGCGCATCGTCCATGTCTAAATCGCCATCGGCATCTACATCATCGTCGTCTTCACCTGGCGCATCTTCATCATCGTCCACCTCATCTTCTTCCTGGTCTTCCAGGTCGTCTTCATCGCTTGTATCCACTTCAACAAGCTTTTTCTTGGGTCTGCTGGTACGGGGACCCGTCACAATGGGATTCTCCGTGAAGACATTGACCGAACGTCTGGTCGATGCACCACTTCGGGTGCTACCACTGGTAACTTCACGAAGTTTACTGGACGGCATCTTTACTGTCAAATGGATTGACTTGTGAGTAGAAGTCCCGTGTAGGTCAGATGCACCGCGTGAAATCGTCACCGCTGGGGTGGAGATGGCAGCCCGGGCGGCAGCTCTCGTGGATCTGGTGTTCATGTTAGCATCCATGCTCGGCTGGTCATCCCGCCCCAAGCGGGAACGTAGTGAGCGACGCAAAAGCATTGTGGCTGCTAGTGAAATCCCCGCAAAACTCCCAATGACAGAGAACGCAAAGTGCAAAACTGAGATGCAATCCCAGCCGCACAAATCTGAGGATAGAGCAAGCAGGAATGAAAGCAGGCTCAAATAAGATGAACTGTGCGACAGGCTAACAAAGGGGAATGGCAGATAGAGAGTAGAGCAAGATGGAACAAAGGTAGTTGGAAACAGATGAAGACTGGGTAGCAGGGGTAGTGTTATGGGGTAGCCAGATAATGTGTTTGGAAGTAAACTCAAACAGAGTAACAGTGATGAGGGGGATTATCTGGCTTTTTCCCTGGATGTCCCGGTGGATGGACAAATGGTGGGATTGCGGAGGCAGGGAAGAGGGGGAAGGGTGAAGAGGGGAGTGAATGAGCGCATCTGGAGGTCAAGAGAGATGGGATCCTCGCGATGGGCAGAAGCAGCGCCAGATTACCATCATCCACCGCTAAGAATGACTACGTGGGCCAGTGTTCAGGATGAGCCATGCACTCCGGAAAGGCACAGGACATCCACCCCTATCACATCTCTGACGGACGCCACTTGGACATCTCCCTGCGACATGGACCATGATGACGGAGCCAATGGGAGCATTTTGAATGCAGATGTTCAGGGCCGATGGGTTTTAGGTCCAAGAAAAAAGGCGCGGTCAATCCAACGGCGGTGCGGTATCTGGCGCAACCCGGACGCGGACTTAGGGATTATTCCCTGGACTGACCCAGCAGGGGTTTCCCGATGGTTGCGCGGGCAGAAATAGATGAGGCCTCGGGGATGGATAATCAATGTAAATAAACGGGGAGGGGGTGAAAGAGAAGGGGGGTGTAATCCTCTGTTTTCTGATGTTTCGCAGATGTTGAACAAATGTATAGAGACCCGGCCAGAAGAGACCAGAACAGACCAGATGAGACGTGACAGGGAGACAAGGGCAAAGCAGCGAGGGTGTGTCAAGGCAACTAATACGAGGACGACTCACCGAGAGGTGATGGGATGCTTTCTCTAGTAGAAAGTAAATGGTCGTCAATGCAACCCCAAGTGAGACCTGGGCTTGGACAACAGTGGCCGATGTTCTGAGTGGACTGGCAGGCAGAGAAGTACACGTATGTGTCGGTACCTGATCGAGCGACCCAAAACCAGAGCAAAGCAGAGAATGAACCGGTTTGATGGAAATGCTTCCTTTTCAGTAGGAAGAATCCTTGAAGATCCGCGGACTTTCGCCTCTTCCTTTGGCCGCTTCGGCGGTTCTGCCAGGCGGTCGGTAATCCTTGGCCGCCTTTCCCTATCATCTTGGTTTGTCCACCGCAACATTTATGCTTATATGCCATACTATATAATAACTTCATTTGAAATAAACTATTTGAGTATATTCTGTGGTATCTAAATTTATCTCTTTCATTTTTAGTTGGTAAATAGTCTTCTTGTAAAATCCCATGCTGTCAACCCCCATACTAGTAACTATCTATCATAGATCGGATAATATATTTTAGGTGGAGATACTACTTTCTACTATTTAATATCTACCAGTAGCTCCAAAGAGTGATACCTACAAGTATAGGTTGCTAGTAAGCAGCCACATTCATTTCCGTCGCAGTTTAATGGTATCTCAACCTGTCAGAACATCCCCTAGTGTGTTGCCCAGTAATCATAAAGTTCAAGTTTCACCAGAATTAGCCTTTGTGGCCCAAACCGCATCCAAACCTACTACATCTCCCCCCAGAAGTACCTGTCGTACAGCCCGTACCGCCTCCATACATACCACAAATACAGCCGAGGTCGGGGCAACCCAGTGTCTCTCCTCACTTTATCTTCCCTCACATGGTTACTATCCATTGCTATCTCCTCACTCAACTAACCCCTTCCACTCTCCTATCCCTACTTTTCTTAATTACACCTCCCCAGACAAACCATGGCGGACTCTAAGCCCAAGCCATCCTCAATTCCTTCATGGCAGCAGCCCTCCAACCCCAACAATGACAACTCCGAGTCTACCTCATCGCCGACCTCCGACGACACCTCCCGGTCAACTCTCATCGAACAAGCAGCCAAATTCCTCGAGGACGAGTCCATTCGCGACGCTCCCACCGATCGCAAAGTGACATTCCTGCAATCCAAAGGTCTCCGAGAGGATGAGATCAACACCCTCCTAGGCATATCATCCACCCCCAAGGCGAGCGATACAACCGAGGAAGAAGAGAAGACCGCTTCCCCGGACACCACTCCTCCCAGCAGCACCGACCCAGTACCATCATCAGCACCAGAACAAACAGACAATGCCTCAGCATCATCAACCACCCAATCCACGCCATCATCCTCAATCACCACACCCACCCCATCACCAACACCCTCCAAAACCACCACCACCCGCGACATCCCCCCCATAATCACCTACCCGGAATTCCTCTCCACGCCCACCAAACCACCCCCACTCGTAACCCTGCGCAGCGTGCTCTACACCCTCTACGGCGCCGCCGGCCTCAGCGCCAGCTTCTACGGCGCCAGCGAATACCTGATCAAGCCGATGCTCTCGAACCTGACAAGCGCGCGACAAGAGCTCGCCTCCACAGCAACAAGCAACCTCCAAAAGCTAAACGAGAAGCTGGAGCAAAACGTCTCCGTCATCCCAGAAAGTCTCAAGAACAAGACCGCAAACACCGATAACGACACATCCTCCACCGACACCGAGTCCATCACCTCCGACCCAACGGAGCTCTTCCACCGCGACGTCGCCACTCAAACAGCTACCTCGGACTTCGCCGCAACCTATAACAACAACAACAAGACAGGCACAGACAAGGACTCACCAGCAGACCCCACCGCAGCAGTAACCGACCACCTCAAGCGTCTTGAGAGTATCCGGTCTCAGCTCCGCGAATGCTCCGACACAGAGAAGGAATCCAGCACGCTGGACAGTGGGATGCGCACGCGCTTGAATGAACTGCATCATTACCTGGATGGGTTGATCTACAGTAAGCCTGGGTTTAACCCGCTCTCTGGATACGGGATGTACAGCACGCCTGGCATGGATTCGGGGAGTGGAGCGGCAACGGGAGTGGGCAAGGGTGAGGAGGATGCGATTGCGAACTTCAGGGCGGAGATTAGAGGTGTGAAGGGGGCGTTGTTGAGCGCGAGGAATTTCCCTGCGGGTCGTGGAGGTAGGATTGGGGGTGTGG